AGATACGACAGGTCGTCCACCTACTCCCCCCTTCTCGGCTCATCTTCTTCTTCTTCTTCTTCTTCTTCTTCTTCTTCTTCTTCTCTCCTCCTTCTCCTCCTCTCGTCTTCTTCGTCTTTCCTTCGTCTTCCTCTCGTCCCCCACTCGTTTTCTTTCTCCTCTTCTTCTTCTTCTTCTTCTTCTTCTTCTTCTTCTTCTTCTTCTCCTTCTTCTTCTCCTTCTCCTTCTTCTTCTTCATCTTCTAGTTCGTCAATATTCGGTAGGTCACGTGAGACATGACAGGTGAAAAAAAAAAAAAAAAGGCGGCCGTCCTCCTCCCCCTCCTTCTCCGCTTATCTTCTTCTTCTTCTCCTTCGTCTCCTCTTGTCGTCCTCTCGTCTTCTTCTTCTTACCCTCCTTCCCCTCGCGTCTTCATATTTCTCCTCGACCTTTCTTGATCTTCTTCTTCTTCCCCTCCTCACCTCTCTTCTTCTTCTTCTTCTTCTTCTTCTTCTTCTTCTTCTTCTTCTTCTTCTGCTGCTGCTGCTGCTCCATTCGCTAGGTCTTCTTCTCTCCTCTTCTTCTTCTTCCCGTCCTTCCGTACTCCCTCCCTGCCGTTCTTCATACCCTACCGCCGCCGCCATAACCCACCGCCATAACCCACCGCCGCCATACCCTACCGCCATACCGTATTGCCATACCCTACCGCCAACATACCCTACCACCGCCATACCCTTCCGCCATACCCCGCCGCCGCCATACCCTACGGGCGCCATACCCTACCTCCATACCCTACGGCCGCCATACCCTACCGCCACACCCCGCCGCCATACCCTACCGCAGCCATATTTCTTCCCTATCTTCTTCTTCTTCTTCTAGTTCGTCGACATTCGGTAGGTCACGTGATACACGACAAGTTAAAAAAAAAAAAAAACGGAGGCCGTCCTCCTCCCCCTCCTTCGCTCATCTTCTTCGTCTTCTCCTTCTTCTCTCCTCGTCATCCTCTCCTCTTCTTCTTCTTCCCCTCCTCACCCTCTTCTTCTTCTTCTTCTTCTTCTTTTTCTTCTTTTTCTTCTCATTTTTTTCTCCTCCTCCTCCTCTTCTTCTTCTTCTTCTTCTTCTTCTTCTTCTTCTTCTTCTTCTTCTTCTTCGTCGTCGACATTCGGTAGGTCACGTGATACATGACAAGTTAAAAAAAAAAAAAAAACGG